GCACGCAAAGCAAAAACCCGAAAAACTTCAACAGAAATATACCGCAGTATTGCTACTATCTCCGGAGGAGACCCAACAAAAGAGTTCTACTGACATTCTACATAAAATTGAAGACGAATATAATGTGCATACATATATTCAAGAAAACAATTGCACGGCGTTTAGTCGAATTTGGATTTCACGGCAGAGCAGCACGCATGAAACCATTTCTAACTAAAATTCAAAGGAAAGAATGTGTACACTTTTCCCACGCTTATTGATCTTGAACTACAAATAAGTGGAAGTATGTTGTTTGGAGAGATGTAACCAAAATAAGTCGCATAGACCCTGATGGTCGAAGGTATGTTTGCCTACCAATCTATCAATAATTTGATCCTCGCTATGTTTCACGCGTAGTGAGGCATGGTGGAGGTTCAATCATGCTGTGGGAATATTTTTCCTGGGATGATGTAGGTCCGCTCCATATGATTGATGAAATTTTAAATAAGGAGAAATACTTTGACATCCTAAAAAATATCATTTTGTCACGAACTAAGGACAATTTGCCTGCTATATGCAAATTCCAACAAAATGACAACCCAAAGTACACGGCAAAGTCAACACAAAAGGTTTTTGTTAAAATTTCCATAAATGTTTTGGAGTGGCCTGAAGAGACATCTGGGTTGATGTCCAAAAAGCTGTAGGTATCAAAAATATCACGAATATGGATGTCCTGTGATGAAATTAGGACGACATGGCAAACAACACTAATGGTGTGCTGTTAGAGTCTTATAACGTCAATTCGCAGTGGATGTGAAGTTTATTAGTTCCGATCCTTAATCTTTGTCTCACGCGAACTTAGTCCTTCCTTACTTGATTTTTCTTAAAATATTTCGACTTTGTTGACATTATATTATTAAATATTCTCAGAAAATGCAGAAAGGAAAGCATTAGTCAGCTACCACTTGTTTATAAAAATGGAAAATACTATAACCCAGTGATTACATTTTTAACTATAAAAGGAAAATAGCGGCGTAAACTCAAAGAGCCTTGGATGCTGTTCACACTGACCCTGACCAAGCCGAAGGCTATTGAAAATTGGTTTCAACGGGGCCGGATGTTAGTTTTTGATTTTGCAGAAGATTAATAACCAAAACTGTTTACCATAGTTTCCATTAATCGCAGGGTGTGATCTACATTGAGTACAAGCAAAATGGAACCGGTTGGCGAAAATAACCACTGTCAATTTATTTAATTAAGCTAAAAATTTTTGCCACTTCCACTATTTCCAGGCCCATTTTGCAGACTTCCAAAAACTTACTTGTGCGCGACATTTTAAATCTACATATGTATATCAAAAACTGACTATATCGCTCTTATACAGAGAGATAGACGGACATATGGACATGAGTATAAAATTAAGACTTTGTTCATAATTTCTTCTTCTTAATTTATTCTTCAAAATCTATGTCGTCCCTCCTCAAAGTAACCCCACTTGCCCCAAATACACTTTTGCCAAATTTGTAAATCAGGCGAATACGGTGGCTGTGGCACGATGTTGGTTGAAGATTTGGCGATCCTTCCGATATTCCAACGATGCGATTGACGTTTTGATCATCAATTGATGTTGATGCTCGTCCTGCACGAGGTTCGTGTTCAACGCGTTCTCGGTCATATTTGAATAATTTGTATCAATCAAAAACACTTGATCTTGACAATTATCACCGAGGGCCTTTTCCAATATTCTAAACGTTTTGGCACCAGAAATTTCATTCCGCACATAAAATTTAATTAATCTTCTTTGTTGAATAATTTCACTCATCGTAAAACTCACTTTATTTATTCAGAAAGACAAGTGTATAGTGTAGCGACTTTTGGCACAGATGTCCCTGACAGGCGTATCAACCTAAAAAGTTTTCGCGCGAAATTTAAAGTAAAAAGTCTTACTATTTTTTGCTCGCAGTATACTCGTATTACTATTTTCTGCTTGGTATAATGGATCACTGTGGCATATATGTACATAGCTGGCATACAAGCTGACTGATCGCTCTGACCTTGTTTAGCACATTGCTTAAGTTCTGACTCGGTCGAATGAAGCATCAAAAGATATGTTTACAGAAACCATCGAATTACAATCGTTTTCGTCGAAAAGAGCCGATTATTTATGCACCGTTATAGCATTCATCATATATACTTGTATATTTTTATAAATTTTGCTTTAATTTCGTTTTTGACATTATTTGGATTTATAAATTCTTTGAGAACTGATTTGCGCTTCATGAAGCATTTAGAATGTGCCACCTTATTGAGGAGCATTCAAATTTGACTGATTAAATCGAAATGTAGTTGTTATTGTTTACGATTCACTACATCATATTACAAATATGAAATATTTAATTTTCAGCTTCAGCTTTCGGATATAACCAATATATAAACAATGCTCAATTTTGTTTCAATATGAGTGATTTCTACTATATCGTTTTTCCTTCGCCTGTAAACTTCTGAAAAGTTACATATGTTAGGTGGCGATATACAGCATTCCTATTAGCATTAAGTAAGCTTCAACTTGCTGCACTTATCCCTTTCACACCTATGCTTTTGATTCCTTCTAATTCCCTCGAAATCACCTACCTGAAAGGAAGTTTTGCATTTTTTGATCACAAATTACATGATGAACATGACTGTAATGATTTTTTTTGGAAAAAGGACATCGCACAATTGTGATACCTAGGTCTTAGGCTGAAAAATTGCTCCAATAAATAAGACAAAAAATAATATTTGGTTTTCTCTTTTATTGAAAAAAATGAACAAAAAGTCATGCCGAAAATTCAGTACATTAATAGAAAAAAATGTTAGGTACTTCATTGCATTAGAAATAAAATAGCTAATTAATAAGGAAGATATTTAGTCTTTTGTGTGGTACTATTCAAAATAATCCTTGTTTTTTGCTAGACAAATCCTGACGTGGAATTTTTGGCATCGTCCTCTTTTCCGAATACCGCAAACTCTAGGCGGCTCATCTGCGAATGAGGGCCAATGATCGTAGCGATCAAATCTTACGTCGTCAAGCGCTTCATGTGGTCGATACTTACATATTTTCATCGACTTTAAAAGTTCAACATAGTCAGGAGCTTGATAATATCCCGCCAGTACTGTTCCCAGCTCCAATTTGAACGTTAAAAATGGCTTAACTTTGGACTTATGCAGGCCGGCTAATTTGGTATCTCTTTTAGACTCCATCCATGATGATGAACTAAATGAAAAAATACTTTTACAGTCCATTTCCTGGTTTTCATTTTTATCCTGTAGTATTCAAGCATCTGGTCAGCTATATCGACACCCCCCATAAATGCATTATAATTTTCTATAACTTTTGGGATTTGTACAGGGCAACGGCGTTTCATGTTTTTGTTAAACCTTTCTGCCTCGCCGATGGGGTCTTTGCCGCACTGGCTGGAAACGACCACAACACCTTTGCTATGTTTCCATTTGACAACGGCTACATTGTCACCGTTCGTGAACTGGATAATATCACCCCTATTCATTTCCTTGTCCTGGGGAAATTTCAAATTTTTGTCCAAACGATTTGCTATTATAGTTTCTGTTCCATGGAAACCGATTTGGTGCAAGCGTTAAAAATATATATGGAAGGTGTTTTGTTAGCCTCATTATAATAGACGGCCATGCCCTAAACCACAATCTTGAAAAGTGCCAGCGCCTTGAAAAACTTCAAAGTTCACTATCATGCCACTTGCAATTGCACAAACGAAATTTTTTAGACCAGTAGGTCTTGGTTTTGATCGAATTGTTTGACCCGCAGGGCATCTTCCACTAAATGGAATAACTTGTTCATCCATTGAATACTGTGTTATTTCAGTTGCTAAATTATTGCAACGGTTTCTTACTAAATCGATCACAGGTTGTACACGCCATAATTTGTTACAGGGGTCTGGCACAGCAACATCTGCAAAGTGAATGTCCGATCGCATTTGCAAAAATTTTTCACACGACATTGAATTGTAAATTGCAGGAATTTGGCATTCATGTGACCACTACATTCTTATTTTCGGATATCGAAGACACCCCATTATCATTGCGCATCCATAAAATCGTTTCAAATCGGCTTGTTGATATCGGACTTCCTGCCCACGTGTGCTCATAACGTACATTTTTATAAATTTTATAGCATCGCCGTAATGCGATTCTGGGCAGTAATTCTTAAAGTACTCCTATGGTGTTTTCACCTGAGAAATTGCTGATGCAGATGCAGTTGCATTCTCATTATCATCTTCATAACTTGCTGGAGATTCTTGGAAAATGTTGAATGGTACCCAAGTTTCATCATCAATAAGATTATCGTCACTGAAATCTGCATCAGAATCGTCTAAGAGGTCTAATGCAGCTTGAACGTCGTTATCATTATTCAAACCAAAGTATTTTCCTGTAAAAAAAATGTAAGACAGCACAAACGTGAGTTTACATCAAAAAAACATGATGTGCCTATATAGCACAATTGTGATATGTCAACTTTACTAACACCTAGCTGCCTGAAAATGTTAAAAAATTCAACATTATATTGTGACAAGATCGAACACACTTACTATTTATCAACAAAATGCACTACGTATGATTTAAATTTATGTAAAACAAATAAATAAATACTCACTATGTGGCATGTTTACACTTATCGGATGACGTTCTCAAACAGCTGACTCTTTTGTCTCTTTTGTGCAGTTTTTTAGTTTTCTTTTGTTTAGAGTGAGACCACAAGCGAACGCACAATCATTACATATCGGTAACAAAGCTATAAAATAATATTTGAACGTCATTGAAGGCTAAAAACAGCAGATCTCACAATTGATTAACCTTCTGTGACTGATGTGGTAGTCTAGCAGACACCAACAGACACAAAAGAGTATTTTCTACCGTTATTTTCCATACATCTACTCTCTCGTTCTCTGTACCTTCTTATTGTGTACTCATGCCTATGTTAGTTTATTCAGATCGATTGATGTAAGCACATGTGCTATTTTAAGCGAAAAAGTGTCTGCGAGTCAACCACATCAACGTTAAGGTAGGTGTCTGTGAGGCAATCACATCAGTATTTTTGTTATATTTTCATAGTGTCTCCTAAACAACACGTCAGTAAAATAGTTATTTTTTAGTTTTGTTATTATGSAGCATTCAAACATATCGCAAGATCCACATTGTTCTAAGAGAGCCTCATCTGGAACTTTTAAAACCCGAAATGAGCTAATACTACAGTGGCTGGAGAAAGAGAGTGAGCATGAGTTCAGCGATATGGATGATGAATGCAATGACCCCAATTTTCAACCAGAAACGGCACTTTTAGATAATGATGAAGACAATGAAGAACAACATGCGACTACCTCTGAGACACAAAATATTTGTGAAGAAGTGAATCAACACCCAACAAGCGACTACTACAAAGGTAAGAAAGGATTTATGTGGAGTGCAAGAGAGCGRCCAAAAACATCTAGAACAGCATCCCATAACATCGTTAGATTACCAGGTYGCCTGCAAACTTCTACCTTTGAAGGATATTTACAGCTTTGGTCCAAAATTTTTGACGAATCCATGTTGGAATGTTTAGTACAATATACTAATCAAAAACTCTGTAATTACCGAGCTAAATTTAATAATACTACRAAGGTGGAACTTATGGATACATATGTAACGGAAATGAAAGCATTCATTGGCCTACTGTACTACACTTCAGTTTTTAAATGTAATGACGCAGATCTTCGCACAATATTCGCAACCGATGGCAGTGGYCGTGAAATATTTCGTTGTGGGATGYCAAATTTTCGTTTTTCTTCTTTGGTAAACTGCCTTAGGTTTGACGATTCAACTACCAGGGCGGAGCGTCTCAAAGAAGATCAACTTGCACCAATTTCAAATTTCTTCAACAAATTTATCCTAAACAGTCAATTTCAATATACACCCGGACCATACCTTTGCATCGATGAAATGTTACTGCCGTTTAAAGGTCGCTGCAAGTTTAAAATTTACATGCCTCAGAAACCAGCACAGTATGGCATTAAAATAATGTTGTTAGTCGATGCTCGCACATACTACATTTACAATGCGTATATTTATCATGGTAAAAATTCTGACGGCATAGGGTTAAATGAACAGGAAAGGAAATTGGCAGCACCAACTCAGTCTGTATTAAGACTTGTGAAGGTTGTCGAAAACTCAAACCGGAACATTACGGCTGACAATTGGTTTAGTTCTATACCACTTATGGAAGCTCTGCTGAAAAAGGGATTGACTTATTTAGGAACTCTAAAAAAAATAAAGTTGAGATACCATCTTCTTTCTTACCGTGCAAAACTAGAGAAGTCGGGAATTCAATATATGGCTTTACGAAAGAATGTACCCTATTATCATATGCACCGAAAAAAATAAAGCTGTTTTGTTGATTTCGTCTTCTCATCATTGTCAGGAAATAGATACTGATACAAAAAAACCTGTTATGATAGCAGATTACAACCATACAAAAGGAGGAGTGGACAAAATTGATAAAAAGTGTTCGATATACTCATGCAGTCGAAAAACTCGTCGATGGCCTATGGCAGTATTTCAAAGAGTACTAGATATGGTTGGTGGGAACACCTTTGTCTTATATCAAATGTGTACTGACAGTGATGTAAAAATGAGAAGAAAAACTTTTATGCTCAATCTGGCGAGAGAATTGGGGCTAGACCATATGAAATTCCGGGTGTACAATGAAAGGTTGCCACGAGAACTAAGAATGATGCTCACTAGGGTTTTTGGCCTAGATCTACCCCCTCCTCCACCAATTATTCAATCTAATCCACCAAGTGGAAGAAAATTGTGTTCAATTTGTCCCCAAAAAATAAAAAGGGTAACAAGGTATTGCTGTTGTGATTGCTTAAAGCCAATTTGCCTCCAGTGATCCAAGCCTCTTTGTGAAACCTGCCAGGAAAAGTTGTAGGTTTTATACATATATATATATATACATATGATCTCAAGTCTTAAGACTGTTTAACTTAAGTGCAAATTAAGCAAAATCTAAAATTTTTGCTACATAAATTATAACACGAAATATTTTTTGTTTGTTAAGTTATAAGCTTTAATGTGCAACTTAACATGTTTCGTTACTTTTTTTTACCACTGGATTTATTATTTTTTGTTATCAACTGTTAAATTGAAGTCTAAATAATAAAAAATTAAAAACATTTGAAAAAAAAATTATTTTTGAGTTGTTTTTTGCTGTTCTAATATAGGTCTATGTTTTTTGCAGAAAAATCATGTCATACCAATAAATAACACATAACACCAATTTTCGCTTTGAATTAGAAAAATAGCTTTACAAATAATAACTTAAACTTATAAACAATAAACAAAAATGGTTTTATTAGTTTTACAAAACGGAACTTGGAAAATATAAGACATAGAAATGGTGTCTGGTAGTCTAACACGTCATTAGAATTGTTAGAACTATATCACGTCAGTCACAGAGGGTTAAGATAGGTCTGAAAGGGTTATGCAATTTAGGTCATAGGCAGAAAATATTTTGTAAAGTTGCAAATTTTTTAATAGGATTTTAAATATTTTTGGTAGAAACGAAGAGACTAATTCGTTAACATGCAATATATGTATTACTCCTCGGAAATTCCGTTTATTGTAGACAATATCCACTGAAACATATTTGCTGTTTATTAAGATTATTGCCATGAACACATGCTATTTTAAGCATTTTTAGCGCATGCTGCTTGAAAACCCACCTAAGCTCACGCCACACATTGCCACTTTGCTGACCTTAAGTATTTATCTTCGCACCGATTAAAATAACTTTCGTGTTTTGGCCTAATACAGAGTCTAACGAAAGCGGTCCACATGAATAATATATTACGAATATATTGCCTCATTAACATAACATAGCCCTCACGATATGTATTGGAAATGGATGTTAACATGTGCAACTATGGACCACAGCCTACGTAGGAATATGTGAAGTAAGTACAGAAATAAATATCAACATACATAATAATCGCAGCTTTCACTAGTTTTATTTATTTAATATTAAATAGGAACAACAAAAACGGAAATAGCGCTTAAATCGTCTCTCGATCGGTTAAGAGATCGTCAACTGGAATGAGTATACTGTCTGGTAGCGGTTGGGAATCGATCGCGACAAATGTGTAAGTTAATGGCAGACAGACAGCAAGCACTCAAACCGACTACACACTCTCAAGCATCGAAAGTTTTTTGGAAAGCGAAATTGATTAAAGCAAACGGTGTTGGAATACGCATGTGGATGCAAGTGAAATTTATTAAACATGGTTAATATCCATATATTATATATGCGGAGTATATTAATGTCCAGCACAAATAGCTTCAAATTCCCAAAAATTTTAAAAAGATAACATCTTTAAACTAACGAATTATATTGAGATCTTCAAGACTTTACTGGACAAAACCATATTAGGTTTAGAGCGCCCCTTTGTTATTCTTCAAGTCACTTTTGGTGGTTTTGAATTAAGTAACATCCACCGATGTACATAAGCTAAAAATATTCTCAAATATATAGCACAACACCCACAGTTCCGCTGGCCCTGCTACAATGAGCCTCACACAGGAACTTCTCGGCTTCATCGAAACTCACTAAGCGGAATTATTGAAGTTCAGTCGAGTTGTTGAAATATTTAATTTGGCTCTTGAATGCAGCACAGTTTTTTACCGCAAAGACAATCACAAAAACCAATTTTATATCAGCCAACTCTTCACTTGTGCCTTAAAAAATTGTTTCTCACGGCAGTAAGTTAATCGAACTTTGGTGAAAGAGATTCTCTGTTCACCAAGTATGTCGATGCTTTCGAACACGTGTGAACTGCACTTGAAAGTAATTTCGTCACTGTCACCGACGCCATTCACCGTTGTCATCATCAGTGTTAGGTAATCAAGTGAAATGACCATAACCATGCCGCCATCGATAACATTTGCTCTGTTCGACAACAAAACAGAGTTGCTCAGCATTCAAACGCTTTGGAAATTCGCTGCGCCTTATGAATGGATCGGAAGCGCAGATCCTCACTGCTGTCAAAAAAGCTCAATGAAGACAACGGGCATTACAAAAACGTGCTTGGCTATACGTGAAAGTAGGTGTGCAGATACCGAATAAGTACCATAGAAACCATTACACAATTCCAAAAACTCGTTACTGTGCATATGTATATGTGTTTGGAGCAATCCATCCGGTTTTCTTAACGAATATATACCAAAGATGGAAGTAATAACAAGTAAATATGATATACAGTGGAACAATTTAGCGTAATACATATTTATTATTATTTTTTTTTTTTTAAATAAAAAGCATTCCAATACAAAAAGGAAAATCCTACTTTAAATTTTTTATCTAAACCTACAGAACACCATAACAGCATATTCTGATTTTACGATTGAATGTTGAAATAAATATTGATCCAACAAGTCGTTCTCCAAAATTATTATGGGAAAATACTGGATATCTGAATATTGTCTAGTTGTTAACTCACTCCCTTTGCTCAGGAAATTGGGATGACGTAGATGTTTATAGTGCTATGTGGCTAATCGCGATAAAGTGAAAACTTGTTTTATACTACTAACAATCCAAAAATAATCCACCAAATCCACAGGCAATTAAGAAGAAAGCCTCTGTGAGATAAGGCATAGTTCTCTGGCATTAGATTTCTAACTTACGCTACGCAGCTGCTAGATCTTTATGGCCAAGAGTAGAACTGAACTCCTTGCTATTTACGTAGTTTATTTATGTCCCAGCTTTTGCAAGACTGAGGTTGAAACATCTCGACAGTCATACCTTCAAGAAACCAGCAGACTTAGCCGAAGTCTTCATAAAGATATTTATGATCAATTTAATATCAGTTCTATGTACCTCAACAGGAAGCTTACAAAGCTTTCTAAGTATCGACCATCACAACTTTCTAAGAAGAACAAAACACGGACATAAAAAATGTAATATCAACAAACACCTACTTTCACCAAAATGTTTTTCTTATTGGTTTAGTGTTGTTATGAATTTTTTGTACGAAGGATATTATAGCTTCTATGCAACCGAAGTTAACGTTTTATCTTATTTACATGTAACAGCATTCCTTGAATCAAACAGCTGGCGCTCCTGTTCCTTAATATTTATACGCACACGAGTTTTCTAAGCAAGTTTTTGAAGTCTCAGCGAAAATGCAAACGGCAGTATGATTCAGTGTACGTAACTTCGTTGCCTATTTGTAGTAATTAGGTAAACGCATAAATACATTTGCGAAAATATGTTATTTTACACGAATTCATGAGTAGATATGTGCCTTTTGGAGTGCTAAAACGAATGTGGTGAGCGCAAATATGCGGTCGGCACGCAAATGGAGTGTAACAGGATGTGGGCGGATGTGGAGAAAGTGAAATGCATTCATGAAAAATTATCGAAAGTCAGCATTCCTCGACATGATGTCACGCCTGACTTAATTTTTGGCAAATATATTATATGCATGTATGTGTTATGTCAACATGGAAATCTTATTTCTTAGTAAATTATATTTGTTATAATATTACATATATGCAACACTATATATTATAAATTTTGTGCTTTTTCAATCTATGTGGATGCCTAATGGTATCAATAAAAGCCAGAACCATCCAAATATAATACGGTTATATGAAAGAAATTACAAGATAACGGTAAACGCATGCATATGAAATTTGTGTGAAAACTTCCGGGACATATGTGTGTTTTTATATGTATAATAATCTTTTTTATTGGGAAATAATTCAAATTGTTCTTAAAAACGACTGCTGCTATTCTAATTCTCTATATTTTGTCTGTGGAATGCGATTTTTATAGTCTCGCAGCAGACTGCTACGAGTATAATATTTTTGTTCATCTAACGGTTGCACGTATCACCTAAAACTAAGCGAGATAGATATAGGGTGACTCTCTGTCTATCCGTCCGTCCCTGCAGGATGTGACTTAAGTAAAAACTTAGAATTTAGGTATCTTGAAGAAACTTCGAATGCGAACGAAAAAAGGACGAGTTCGTAAATGGGCGGAATCAGATCACTGCCACACCCACAAAACGCCATTCGCCAAAAACTTACAAAGTTCTATAAATATTAAATTAAAATATAAAGCTCGAATTTTGCATAGCGGATCGCAGTAACAAGAGGCCTGTGTGGAAGCCAAATTTTTTGAAAAATTCTATACTAATAAAAACTAAACTACAAAGCTGCAAAAAAACAAAACATTTATAATACAAATATTATAAGAACTTCTACTAACAGTGAAAACGCAAGATAACCCCGCCCAATTCCCCATAATGGTGCTGTTAAAAACTATTAAAAAACTTAGAAAAAATAATAATGTCACAGACATTAACTTTTACCTCCCAGATTTTGTGAGAAGGCTTTATGGGCACACTTTTTGGGAAATCACATATCTCGGGGCCCGACTGACCCATTTCGACTAAATTCCTAACGTGACATTCGTCTCATATTTATGTGTCAGTATGAAAATAGACAAAATCGGACAACAACTACGCCTACATCCCATATAGCACAATTTTAAGTGTCTTTTGATTATTTTACTTATCAGTACACTAATCAAGAAGTAATTAATGAAATACAAATGTGCACTAATGATTCCTTTAATGTAATGCTTAATAATATGTGGACCCCAGTATCTATAGTTGACCGAAAATATCATTAATGAAAATGAGAGAGAGTGTTTAACTCATAACAGTTTATTTATTTACCTAAAATACAAATACTTGTAAAACAAATTGGGCTTAAACTCGATTTACCTCACATAACTAAAATCAGGCTTTTCGAACATTGGCAAAAATAGATAACACCGGGTTTGACCCTACCCCAACTCCCATATACTATATAAAATGATTTCTCTTTTTCTAACAAACCCTATGTCGAATATCTTGGTCAGTGTATGAGTTATACATAAAATTGCTTGGATTCCGGATTGGATGCCTCTGGTTGGCGTTTTACACCTTAAAGT